TAGTGAGCATGCGCAATTGCAACAGTAACGACTCATCCCAGTAGAGTGCTCAAACTGGACATGAAAGCAGAGCTTTGTATGCCAGCGAGCTATATCTATTATATCTAGCTATATATATTATATATACATATATAGGACAAACATTAACTCGAGAAACGATAGGGTAGATGTAAGGCAACAAAATTATTGAGATAATGTTCCGCTTTTCTATTAAAGCTGTAATAATATTATCTTATACCAATCCTCTTATTGTTGTAACAATATTTACCTGGCCTGTTGCAGTGTGGGTGATAGGCATCCTCTTCATGTTCTGTCGCTTTGTTTCTTGTGATGTATCAGGTTCACTGACACACTTTGTCCGTAAATCATCTAATGTCTTGTTGTTCTTGTCAATCTTCTTGTTGTCAAGTCACAAGACACAACTTTATGAAAAGGTCATGAGTATTGATAATAACGACAAATAAAATATATTACTTGTCATTCACCTTAAAGTCTGGGCTAATAAGGGCCCATTAACCGATTTATGTGTATCGTGGATTTCCACTTGTAGCTAAGAAAAATCCTCAGGCTATTCATATCACTGATTTCAGTCTAAGTCCTTTTTTGCAAGGCAAAGGCCAGAGAAAGTAACTTACAAGCCTTGAAACTTACAAGAAAAGGCCGGAAAGGAAAGGAAAGGAAAGGAAAGGAAAGGAAAGGAAAGGAAAGGAAAGGCTATTTACCATGGCGTCTTCGGTGCACCAACAATACTTCAGATCAGCAGCAGATACAAATGGTACGACGCTTTACACGGTATTACTTGAGGTACCAACTCCCTTAAGAAAACACTTGACGGCCTACAGACTCCAGGTCGGGCGTCCTGAATCACACAGAGATTCATAAAAAAAAAACCTTTTTGCCAGGTTTGGAAATCACGCCAAGAGCGTTATTTTGTAATGTTTTCTCTCAAGTGTAGTTGCCTGAATCATGAGCGTTTTACCTGAAAAAATACGTAATTTCCGTAGCTTCGGGGGGGGGGTTGCATCCCCCC